TGCTATAGCTATATATATAAGTAATCCAAGTGTTTATGGAAGGACTCGGAAACTTGAAAGACTTTATAAAAGCACGGAATCCTTCAACTCTTGAAAAAGCTATTCAAGCAGCCAAAGAAGAAGAAAGGATAAGACTTTCAAATATAGGAGCAAAACAATATTTGAAAGATAGACCACTAAAAAGTTCTAATTCACAATATTCTACATCACAAAATTCTACTTCCAGTACAAGCTGTCATTTATGTGGTCAAAAGGGACATTTTGCTAAATTCTGTCGTAATAACAATTCTACATCCACTAATAACACAAATAACGCTAAAATACACAGACCCATTGTTCAAAACTCTGCTTCCGTAGAAAAAATCTGCAGATATTGTAAAAACGAGGGTCACATTTTAGAAGAATGTATCAAAAGAAGATACGCAAACACAAATCGACGTAAACAGGAAAACAGGAACCGTCCGGACCAAGGCGCAAGTTCGGCCGGAAAACTTCAAGCCGCCATAATACAATTAAACGAATCTACAAATGCACCGCCAAGTTAGATAATGGTCATGTGCAAATTCTATGTAAGCAAACTACTCCGAATCTTCTACATCTTCTTTTAGACACAGGTAGTGATCTAAACCTTATCAAATTAAATTTTCTAAATCCTGAAGTACCAGTAAAGGAGAACGAATGTTTCAGTCTCACTGGTATAACCGATCATACTATTTCGACACTTGGTAAAGTCATACTAAGTATTCAAATAGAAAATCATGTAATAAATTCTGAATTCCATATTGTCCATCCGAATTTCCCTATAAAATGTGAAGGTATTTTGGGAAGACCCTTTTTACAAGTAAATCAATTTTCAGTCGATTTTCGAAACAGTGAGATAATTATGCACATGAATAAAATATGTGAAATATCTCCACGCTCTGAATCTCTTATTTCTATTTCTGCATGTGATATCGCTGAGGCCACAGCGTTAGTCATTCATTCTCAAAACTTATATGAAAACTTATTGTGTGGTAATGTACTGACAACAGTAAAGAACCACGAAATTTTAATACCTGTTATCAACACATCTGAACGTTCAATTCTACTTCCACCAGATCTCGCTTTGTCTCAACTTTCGTTCGACATATGGACCGAACCAAAGTCATGTTGTATTGCAAATTCAAATTCTAATACTATTTCTGATAACAGTCCTCCCGCGAGCAGCCAACGACTAAGGCTACTTAAGAATTCTATTCAAACTGACCACTTAAATCCTGAGGAAAAAGCTTCGGTCGACACTATATGCCGTGAGTACTCCGACATTTTTCATTTAGATGGAGACAGACTGACGTGCACGGACGCGATTTATCACGAAATAAATACGCCCTCAATCGTACAGCCCATCAATGAACGTCCATACCGTTTGCCTTTCCATCACAAACAGGAGATTAATAAACAAATTAAAGAACTAGAAGAACAAAATATTGTTGCTCCCAGCAAAAGTCCATGGAATGCACCACTATTAGTTGTACCAAAGAAACCGGACAGTAATGGTGTTGTGAAATATCGTGTCTGCGTTGATTTCAGAAAATTAAATCAAGTTTCTGCAGGCGATGCATATCCTATTCCTAATATAGCTGACATTCTAGATCAATTAGGAAAATCCTCGTACTATTCAACTCTGGATCTCGCGCAAGGCTATCATCAAGTAGAAATGCACCCAGATCACCGTGAAAAAACTGCATTTAGTACAGATCAGGGTCACTTTGAGTTCCTTCGAGTTCCTTTCGGTCTCAAAGGTGCACCTGCTACATTTCAACGTCTTATGAACTCTGTATTAAGTGGGCTAACCGGTCTAAAAGCATTCGTTTATTTGGATGACATAATAGTCTATGCATCTTCTATACAAGATCACGAGAACAAATTAAAGGATGTATTTAATCGACTTCGGAGTTTCAACCTAAAACTACAACCTTCTAAGTGTTCATTTATGCGAAAAGAAGTACACTACTTGGGTCATGTTATAACAGACAAAGGTGTTAAACCTGATCCACTCAAAATCAAATGTGTTCTAGAGTTCCCAATTCCTAGAAACGCCAAAGAGGTAAAATCGTTTCTTGGTCTTTCAGGCTATTACAGGCGTTTTGTACCAAACTATGGCACAATCGCAAAGCCACTCACGAATCTTTTAAAGAAAGAAGTCTCATTCCACTGGTCAGATCAATGTCAAGAATCATTTGAAAAATTAAAAACTGTTCTAACTCAAGAACCTCTACTTCAATATCCAGATTTTAGCCAACCATTTAACCTAACTTGTGACGCAAGCAATGTTGCAATAGGTTGTGTTCTATCTCAAGGTCCTATCGGCAAGGATTTACCAATCGCGTACGCATCTAGAACTCTGAATCGAGCCGAACAAAATTATAATACAACCGAAAAAGAGTTGTGTTCTATCATATGGGGTATTAAGCAGTTCCGCCCCTATCTTTTTGGACAAAAGTTCAATGTGGTAACAGACCACCGAGCTCTTGTATGGTTATTCAATATAAAGGACCCAGGCTCGAGGCTAACGAGATGGAGACTTAAATTAGAAGAATATGAATATGAAATTCAGTACAAGCCAGGTTGCCATAATACTAACGCTGATGCGCTTAGCCGTATACACGTTACAACCCGGGCTCAGTCAAAGGAACAAATTTCTATATCACAAAATCATTCTACATCACAGGATCCTGCTAACTCACTATTAGACTCTGAAAATTACTCTGAACACTCCAATACACAGTTTCCGTCGACATCCACCTCTAGCATGGCAGAAAAACAACAGCTCGAACNATGACAGAAAAACAACAGCTCGAGCAAACCTATACCAACTTCTTACAGGCCAGAGAGGAATCGATATCTACTACATCGAATGTTCAAGAAATTGTCGGAGATCTCTTCAAAGAAAACAACAATTGGCGTTTAGCCAATAGCGTATCACAAGATTTCTATATGAAAAAAGGAGTCGCTCTCCAATTCAGAAGAAAATTTGGACAAATAGAAGAACTTCTAAACCAAAGGAAAAATGTGACAGAAATTGCGCATTTAGTCCACAATGAGATATACATTCTATATCTTATTACAAAAGCTAACTATTTTGAGAAACTTAGTTACGAAATCTTGTTTAAGACTCTAACGAATCTAAAAACCTTTTGTCAAGAAAATAATCTAACCAAAATCGCTATGCCAAAAATAGGATGCGGGTTAGATCAACTCAATTGGAATCAAGTTAAATCTATGTTAAGATTCATTTTTAGAGAATCCAATATTGCTATCAAAGTGTTTAGTAAAGATCACCTAACACTTGAGGAAAAACTCAGACTCATTAAAGATTTCCACGATACTCCTTTCTCAGGTCATCAAGGAGTAGAACGGACTATTAATAAGCTAAGAATCGAATACCGTTGGACAGGCATGAGAAAACAAGTAGAAGAGTATATCAAGACTTGTCCTACGTGTCAATTGACCAAGGTGTCAAATAAATCAGTCAAGGAACCAATGGTAATAACTTCTACATCATCAAGAGCGTTTGAAAAAATTTTTCTAGATATCGTTGGTCCTCTTACTAAATCAAGTCGTAACAATGTCTTTATCATCACACTACAAGATGATCTGACAAAATTTTCATGGGCCATACCAACAAGAAATCATGAGGCCAACACTGTAGCCTACCATTTTGTGACTCAATTTGTTTGCTTACATGGTATACCTCAGCAAATAGTCACAGATTGCGGTACAGAATTTCTAAGTCAAGTTTTCGCAGAAGTATGTCGGTTGTTGAAAATAAAAAAGTCATCAACTACTCCGTATCATCCTCAGAGTAATGGCAGTCTAGAAAGGAGCCATCGAACCTTAGGCGAATACCTCAGAAGTTTTGTTGCGAAAGATCAATCAGACTGGGACGAATACATTCCATTCGCAATGTTTGCCTACAATTCCAGTATTCACTCGTCTACAGGTTATCAACCCTATGAACTAGTCTATGGTAGACAGATACACATTCCTAATTCGTTGTCGAAACCTCCAGAACCCCAGTACAATTTCTCTGATTACCAATTCGAACTCAAACGGAGACTTCAAGAAACAAGCGAAGTCGCACGCAATCGATTAATCGCTAATAAAAACAAAGCTAAATGTCAATACGACAAAAACGCACATTCTTTAGAAATTAAGGAAGGTGACATGGTTTATTTACAAAATAAAGCAGCTCACAATAAACTAACACCCAATTGGATAGGTCCATTTGAGGTTCTCGAAATCCACCCTAACCAGGTCAATGTAGCGATTAAGCGGAGGGGGAAAAGACATTTAGTTCATAAAAATTTATTGAAAAAACATTTCTCCTAAATCCATAATATAAAAAAAAAAATTTGTTGTATTTCTAGTACATACACCAATGCAGAAATTCTAATTCACCCACCGGACAATCTAGCACAAATAGACATACTAACTCCTCACATTGGAATGTATTATGAAAAGAAATCTAATGTCAAACTACACAGCAACGACTGGACAATAGTGACATTCTTGGACACATCACAGTATGCGTCCAAATACAACACTCTCTTGCAGTTCTATAGTACAACACGTAATTTATGCACACAACTAAAAGACAAAGTTAGTGTGTTAGAATTTGTAGAAGCTTGTCATCACTTTGATAGGGCTACACTTCCATATCTCTTCGAAATCGAATCAAACCGAAACGCTATAAATATCTCACTCGGACAAGACATCCATAAAGAAAACTACCGGGTCCGCCGTAACATGATCAGCTCAGTAACGACGGTAGCTAAAACAATTTTTGATTCAAGTGACATGTTAAACACTGAATTCATCTTTGGTAAAATAATAGATTTTGCAAAGTCCAAATTGACCACCACCAGTATATTAGAAAAAAAAGTNCCAAATTGACCGCCACCAGTATATTAGAAAAAAAAATGCGGTTATTCCAAACGACAATCTCTGATATCAATAACATGACCAAGCACATTAATGAAGCTCAAGTCGAAATCGAAAAAAATATTCAATATCTTAATAACCAAGTCATAAAGAATTCTCAAACTATCAACAGTCTAATCACGAAAACAGCTTTGTTAGAGCAATCAACGTTATTCCAAATCCTTCTAAATCAGTATGCTTATGAAACGCAAAATATTGTTTCTATTATCAACTCTGCTATCCATGGCAAAATTCACACCACAGTTTTGCCTCCTAACATGTTACTATCTCAGCTACGGGAAATACAGCTAGAACTTCCCGCTGGCAATCAACTTCCGTTAGAAATTAATATACAAAATATTCCTGAACTCCTTTCAATCTCTTCTACATCCATAATTTATAGAGATAACTTTCTCATTTTTATATTGCAATGTCCAATAGTTAAAATCGATGAATATAATCTCTATCACACGATACCTTTACCATTCTATTTTGAAAACAATAATGTTGTTCTAGTAAAACCAGACAATGATTATATAGCAATTAGCGATGATAGTGAGTTTTATTTAACTTTTAGTCAATCGCAAATAGAAACATGTATACCACTGAACTCATATACATTATGTAAAGGTAATCATCCAGTTTATCGTAAATCTTCTTCTAAGCTATGTGAGATTTTATTGTTAGAAAATCCACAAGATTTACCCCAATCCTGCAAAATCATTTATGTATCATTTAATAACAGTATATGGAATCGGTTATCGAATACCAATTCCTGGATTTATTGTACGCGAGACGAACTAGTAACTCTGAATTGTAAATCTCCTCAACGCACCTTTTCTGTTTATATAAAAAATATTGGTCGTTTAACAATATCTCCTACTTGTACTGTTCATACCACTTCATTAATTCTAACGCCCATTTCAACTGTACTCTACAACCATTCTAATGATATAGTCCCTCTGAATCCTATGTTTAACTTAATTAACACGTACACAGAATCCATTATTAAGGTAACTCCGCAACAAATAACAAATACCGATTTATTCAACGATCTTTGTAAATTAGTTAAACATACTACAAATTGGTATACAAATCCAAATAGCAATCATTTTTTACTAAGTCATTATCATATTGTAATCATATATACTTGTTTGTCAATTTGTATCATATCAATTATAATTGTCGCTGTATTCTTTAAGTGTAAGAAAAAAGTAATTCAAGTATATACCACTGAAATTAATAATACGCAACTCTGAATCTCTCTATTTTAAATTATATAATTCGCCAATATGAAAAACATTCTAAATCCCTTTGCAATTGTATAACTTTATTTATCTGATTTCCCTTGAGTCAATGGGAATCATTAGACCCCCATTGCTCATTTAGGTTGGGGGGTGTTAAGAACCCCTGAATATTATTTTATAATTGTGTGGAGTATATAATACATGGTCGTCCGACTGTCGTCGAACACAGGAATGTGCTGACCAAGGGTTTTAGGGCAACCATGGGCAAAGGACTCCCACTGTAGGTACCCTACAGTCAGTCGTGGTTTAGTATGCGCTAGTTACACTCATTCTATATCATTCTAAATCATTCTATATCATTCTAAATCATTCTATATCATTCTATATCATTCTATGTCATTCTATTTTATTATTCTATTCATTTGTATTAATATTAATAAATAACGTGTATTGTATTATTAATTGTGTCAATCAAATTATATATTCTAAAGTTTTATTGAAAAGTGAGTGTTTTCTTTTTCTCATTAAGTTTAATTCCTTTTACCACGTGGGCCCGCACAACAGGATTTAAATTAATTAATAAGCAACATCTTATTAATAAATAAATATTGAGTATATGTCAGGTGTTCATATTATTTTGTCCACCCCCTGTATCTCTAATTACCGTTTTTTTCAAATATTTTTTTACACGCCTCTTCTTCGGCAGTGTACGGAACCATAAAACTACATTGTTCTGTGCGCCAAAACTGCTGCATTAAAATTCAGAAGCACCCTCGCCGTTGATGTTTGGCCAATAGAATTGCTGACTTGGACTAATGACGTTGTTAATAAAACCTAATCGAATGTATTAGATACATGTGCGGTTGTCCAAGTACTAGATAATAACAATTAACACTTATTTGTTAAATATTTACGAATAGCCGATATCAAATGACGTATTAAAAATATAATTTAGAGCAAAAATAAGATATATTTGTATTTTATGACGCACTTTAAACTCATTAGGCACGTAATTAGACCGTAATGCTACGATATGTGGACGTATTTACTTAAAATAAGAATATATTACCTGGACCGAATAAGTTTTAAATCAATAAAATAAAAGAAATTTATTTACTGGACTTGTTATTGTCTTCGTGGAGTAAAACCGACCGTGTGCTTTTCAAATGATGATAAAAATAAAATCTGATACTGTGCGATACGCCGCAAGAATCAAAAAATTAAATTTTAAAGAAAACTATAATATATTGTTTTAGATTCAATAAATGATCAATAAAATTAATTGTACAACATTTTTTTTATTTTTAAAAAAATGAACTTTAAGAACTACCTATAGAAGTATTCAAGATTTTAATGAATCATTTAATTGTCAAGAAGTTTCATTAAAAGAAATTACGACGCGTAACTATAACCTCCGACATGGTCAAATACCAAATGATGTATTGTTAAAAAAAAAAATCTTTGTTAAGATTTTGGGAAAATTTCGTTTTATGGGACTTTTTAATGTTCGTGTTTAAACAATGCATAAATATTTCAACTGAACAATCTTTTATTGCAAGTCTTTTAAAACGTACCTCGAGTATAATATAAAAGCATATGGTAAAACATTATTTGATTTTAAGAGGTTTAGGTATTAAACACGAGTTCTTGTTAAAAATAAAGTTTATTAAAACCTGAAAATGAAAAAATTGAAATAGCACACATTAAGAAAAATGGACTGTGCTAATTACTATTTTTATAATATACATTTATACTTGAAATAATATAGAAAAAAAAGAAATGACTTATATAACATGAGCTAAAAAGTAGTACATGGTCAAGTGGACAAATGATAATGAAGTGGGCATTTATAAATTTATTTTTCCTCTGAGAATATTAAATAGATATTACTTTAGATAAGAGAACTCCAATTTTGAAGTATAGGAAAGAGTTGTATCTTAGTCTTATTTAAAGAACATCTAAAATTACGCAAAGAAAAAATTGCGATAGTATATGAATTTCTATAAAAGTTACAGAAGTTACAGGAAAATAAATTAATTTTTTTTTTACTGAATAATTTTCATTTTTTGGAATATTAATGAAGAATCATGCAAAAATTAACTGAGTTACACCTGTTCATACAGACTTTAAAAATTGAAATATTTAGTATAATTCTTTTTAAGGTTTATTTACAGTTAAAATTTTATATATGAATATGTAATTATAATAAGTCTTTCTAGATTACCTCAAATATAATTTGGACGGTCGAATAAAATCTAAATCGTTAATATGGTTTTAAATATTTTAGTTTATACATTTCTAATTCAGTTTTAGTTTCTACATGTAATGTAAAAAAAATTAATTCATTTATTTCTATATCTTAAGAATTTTAAGAGTAAAGGAAATATATTTTAAAAAACAGAAGTTAAATTTCCTGGAGTGTTTTAGGGATTCTCATTGTATTAAAACAGGGCCATATCGTTTAAAGACAATTTTATTTTGACGACTATCGTCATTATTTTGAACAGCTGTATTGATAGTTCTTCAAACGATAAAAAACACTTAAGAATGTATTTAATTGTGTGAAATTGTAGTATAATTAAACTATATTTGATACACTGATAAAAATATTGTAATACATATAAAAGAACTTATTAAGTTGAATATTTGTTAGTTATCCATTTTGACATTTAGTAATATTATAATAATTGTTTTTTCTGACTATTAAACAATTTTTATTGTTACAAATTTATAAAAATAAAAATAAAATGGTATGTATTATATCGTTAAATACTTAAAGTTGAATTTTAGCTTAAATAAAAAAATAAGCTTAATAAAACATTAATTGCTAGTCTTTATTCTAGTTCAAGTTCAACTCATCAATTCACATTTTGGTTGGCTTTTTAATTTTAAGCAATGGTAACACATGATATATTATATAATAATATAAACATATACAGAGTGTTCAGTAATTAAGGTAACGGGTTTCTATTGTTCTCATTGTTTGTAATAATTTACCTATTTCCTTATTTAATGAACACTCTGTATAATATCATATTTTCTGTTGCATAACTCAGAGACTAAAAACATTAATTTTGTTTGTAGCTTCGTTAAAAAAAATTGGAAAAATTTTTTCGGGTTTTTTTTTTTTAGTGAACCGATTATAACTGGTTTAAATCAGTTATAACCGGTTTATGTACCTGTTATAATAATAATACGCTTCAATCCTCGATGGTTTGTCATTAATTTTTTTTTAATATAAAATTAAATATAATTTAATCAGTAAAAAGTATGTAACTTTTTTAGTAATATGTAAAACATATTCCATTACATCATTAGGTAAGTTTGAATTATAACAAAACAATTAACTTTGTATTTCCATATTTAAATAAAAATTATTAGTTTTAAACAGGAGTCAGACTAAATGTTTTTTTCGTTTAACTTTGGTCTAACTTTACTTAAAACTAAAATTAGTATTTAAATATAATTTATTTAATCTTTAAAATTGAATACTGATTGTAATTAACTTTCTATGAATCTTTTTGATAAGAAAATATTTTTTAAAGGAAAGTATTGGAATTTTTTCGGATTTAATAGAATAAATGGAGAAGGTAAATCATATATTTGTATACCAAACCTCGTGTTAACTTGATTTTTAATTAATCAATATGTTAAGTCATAATACGTAAAATATTTAACTATATTTTACATTATTGATATGATAATTATTTTAAATTTGAATTTTATTGAAATTTAATATTTTTTATGTCGTATAAATGTATGTAATTAACTTATTAATAAGTAATTGTTGTTTTTAATTTTCAGAGGAAGACATAGATTTTGGTAATATCTATACATACTATTAATAAGTAACAAAAGATTACATTTATTGCAAAATAATTTAAGACTTGGAAAATCAATTTAGAATTAGCCTTAATCTTAACGGAATAATTAACTAACTCTGTATTTTACACATATTAATTAGGATAAAAACTTTCTTTAATATATTTAAAGATTTAAAAAATTGTTTATTTTTATATAACATTAATTTTTTAAAATTTTTATTGATTTCAGATGAATCAGAAGAAGAAGAAGAAAAAGAAGAGGAAGAAGAAGTAGTAGAAGAAGAAGAAGAAAATAATTCAGAAGGTAAAGATTAGTTCTTATTATAATTGTAATTATATTTGCATTAGCAAACATTATATAGATTTTTACATAAACAATAAATACTTCTTAAAAGAAAATAAAAAAATAATTAAGATTATTTTGGTTTAATTAACGTGTTTAATCTTATCAAATATTAGATATAAACGCTAAAAGTTCCAAATTTTTGAGTTAATATACATGTAAAAAACACTAGGGTTTACAAATACAGGTAGATAATTGGTTTATTATGACATCGATATTAGCAGGTACACAGCATTGTTATTATCAATTGTAGTAAGGCACATTGTTATGAGTTTATAAATACACTAACTGACAATACAGAAAGTATATCTATTGATAATCATAATTGATAATAAACAATCCGTGACTGAGACAGCAATATCATAAAAATCCAATTAGCTACCTGTATTTACAATCCCATGTGTATTATACATGTATATTAACTCAAAATTTTGAAACTTTAAATGTTTATATCTAATAAGCTAATAAAGTTATATTAAAAATTCAAAATATGTGTTCTTATTTAAAAAACTCACGTTAATGTTTTTTAACCTTGAAGAAATAAAAAATATCATGTTTTTACACATATTATTGTAGTGTTTTTTGATTCAAAGAATATTTTCCTTACCAAAAATTAAAAATTTTCAATAGTTACTGAGTAAACGAGTGTCTTATCCTTAATGAATGTATATATATATATATATTATAATTCATAAATTATGCTTGTTTTTGAAATGAAACAGACTGTATAAAACACTAATAATTAAAAAAAAACATTACCCTGTTAATACAAATTTTAATTTATAACACTTTGTTGTGGGTGAATATTATATTATAGTTAATCCTCTATTTTTTTTACATCTCATGTATAATCATTGATACTGATTAAGTTAAATGATTATTTGTAATAAAATGCCACTTAAACTAGTTTTGGGACTGTGAAAAACTATCAATGAAAATTACAATCTTATGCTTTTTACTTAATTTTTAGTACACGCGGTAGCGGGAGAACTAAAAACATTGTCTAAAAATGAAAATATAGAATTTCAGGTACCCAAATTTATAACTCGTATAATCCAAATGATGCATATTGTACATCCTTCTTTGAATAAGTGACCGTTTGAAATTATAAATTTTGTATTATAATAACTATAATTATGAATATTATAAATTATAATATAAAAATAATGTTTGATATTTGGTTTTTATTTATAAGTATATCTCTGTATGATGTATTTTTATAGAACTCTGTTATGTATGTTATCAAGAAAAATTGACTGTAAAACTTCAGCCGTGTGGACATATGATTGGAAATTTTTGCGCTAACTTTATAGAACAAACAACCAAAAAACCATGCCCAACATGTAGACAAGAAATAACTCAATTTGAAAATTTAGGTTTGTATACGTTTTTTCATACTGTGACGGTCTTGTTATTGTGTACGAGATGTTTTAAGATGAGTGATAAATAATAAAGATGAGACATATTAAGGTTGAATAATAAATAGGCCACTTGCCTGTTTATTAATGACACAGATGGCTCTATTGTACAATCGTGCAATATCACACAATAGTCCAAAATTTAGGTTAGTATAAGCTTTTTAAAATTGTGACAATTTTGTTGTGTACAAGATAATATAGAGTGAGTGACCAATATTGTAGTAGAAACATATTAAGATTGAATAATGGATAGATGCTAGCTTTTGTAATGGCACATCATTACACGACTGCCAAGGAATGGTAGCTGTGAATATTATTATTAATTTATTGAAAATGAAAGCTCAACTGATATTTAATGTAATTGATAGTCACAAGGGTGGATTGCATAATAACTCAAAAATGTGTTTTACTGTACACTCAGAGAAAAACCTCGATCTATATAATAAATTCATAGTTCAATTTGATAAATATATTATTACTATTGAATCTATGATATATTTATCAATATAATTTTTTTTCTTGTCTTGAACAATAATTATTTATAAGAATAATTATTTTGTTCATATTAATAAAACATTATCATAAACCCTTGATAAAATTTCTCTATCAAAATTGATTGAGGTTTTTCTTTGGGTGTAGGTTAGTACTAAATGATTTGGTTACTATCTATGATTAAAATAATATATCTCATATGAGTATGAAAGTTCTTAAGAGTGAATAAATTAATAGAAAAATGTAGTGATCTTTATTAATTGATAAAAATGATTGTGATTTATTGATATTAAAAAATAATTCCACGAGTACTGAGAGTTAGCACTAATTGGTAGGATGGAGTGTCAGAGTGATGGCTATGCATAAACTTTCAACTTGGTTTCAGGTATACACTCGCAACAATCATATTAAATTTTACATCTTAATAATAATTTTGAGATATTTTTAAAAAATGTTTTTAAATTTTGTTGTCTTATCTTGACTGAAATTGAATTATTTTGATGTATTGTCCATTAAAATCGCTGCAGCTAAATCTGAGAATATTTATGGACTGGCATAAAAAAATACACTTTCTGAGCTTCGTATCAAAGCTGCTAATATGTTACATTTTTTTAAAAACTTTTAATCCGTTTTTTGGAGATTTTTTTACAAAAAATATCAATTAGTCAATAATAACTTTAAGATAAGTCTTCTTCTTCTTTCTTGCCTTAATCCCAACTACTTTGGGTTGGCCTTTACCGTTTTTAACTACTTTCTGTTGTCCTTGCGTACATCCGAGATGGGACAATTTGCCTAAGTTTTGTTCAGGATTCTTCACACTTTTTTGGCAAAAATTTTTACGTCGGTTGTCGACCTGACACAATCTCATTAGTCGCCTCTTACGACTGGCAGAGGTCCGTGGAAATATTCTTATTCGCTATTCACAGGGAAAATAACTTTAAGATAAGTACTTATTAATTAATAAAGCATTCTAATATATTCAGTGAGTTTGTAGGGTGGTTATAGCACGTATTTATGTATATTTATTATGCACAATTCACCCTTAATAATATAAATGTTACCTCGTATTACAAACAAAATTACTAAAATGACGGAATAGGCCTTCCGGTCTTTAAAACAAATGTTATTATCATCGAAATATCAAACAGAAAAGTCATCTATTGACTTAAGTATTCGCCGCGTCAAATTTTAAATAAAAATTTATAACCTAATGAAAAATAATTTAAATACAATAATTTAACAAAATGCCAGAAACAAATAAATCATTTAAAATATAACATTAAAATAATAATTAGTAATTAAAAACAAATAATTCAAACTATATTATATTTTAAATGAAATCATAATGATTTTTTTAGTACCACTAAATGTTAAACCAGAGGAAATTTACAAACAAATATATGATAATGAAAGACATTCAAAACCCGAAAAACTTTCTATTGATGATTATAATGATTTGATATTTCGTGTAAGATATCATGATATTACACCAGAAGAAATAAAGGCACAATACTATTACCTTCGACGTGGTCAAGAACCAGACAAGAAATTATTAGAAGATATAAATTCATCAATGGGGTATATAGATAGATACAAGTGGAAAGAATTTATAGGTAGTGTTCTTAAATATTGCTCAAGAAGTGATGTCGAACATAAGCTTTATTGTCAGACTTTTCAACGTAAATTAAATAAACAAGAACGATGTATGTTAAAACAATATTATGAACGAAAAGGCCTAGATGTTAAACTAGAGTTCTTCTTTCGAAAAAGGTATATGAAATTTGACGATAAAGATAGTACAACTATATTTATTAAGTAATGTCAACTATTCCAATAATTCATTTTTATAATATGTATGTTCATGTAGTATAAATAAAAACTCAAGTACAGTTGCAATAACAACTTAGTATAGTACACTACTCCTATAAAAAAAAAAAAAAATAAAATTCTTTATTAAGATAATTATTACAATTACCGATATATTTTCTGTAAAATGTTATGTTACAACTTCATTTCTTTAATAATAAATTACGTTGCTTGACTTAAATTTGATCATAATTTTGTTTCAATAATTTTTTTTTATTATGGGGTGGATTTTTTTTTATTTGCATATATTTGTTTTACATTAGTAATTATCTCAAAAAAGAGGTGATAGAAAAAATCTAATTTCAGATTTGAAATCAGCTTAAACATATGGTTTTGCAAAATATATACTGGTCATAAGAACTGTTTTATTTTAATAATATGAGTTTATTTTTCAATTCAGTATAAAAACAAATTTTACGAATATGATTTTTATTAATTTTTATCCTAATAAATAATTTCAATAATAATCATAGTAATCATTTGTATATAACTCATAACGTTTAGACAGATTCTATAATTGAAATATTCAGAATTTAATTAATTTTAACCATTTACATAAACTAAAAAAACAATAAAAAAAGGTGTCAAAAACATCTACTTAATTGAGTGCATTATATCGATTATAATTATAAAACTTTATTGCTAAATTTAGGTAAAACCCAAAATAATTTTTTAAAAATGATTTATACAGTAATATGTTACCAAAAAATGTCTGGTAATGGAACACACAAATTTATAAATAATAAAAAATAAATAAATAACAAACTAATTCAAACTTTTATTTGAAACCTATTATCATATCATACCTAATTTGACAATACATATTTTAATATCATTAGAAATTAATGATATTAATTGTTTATGTGGAGAAATTTGGTCAAACAACATTTTATTTGACAAAGAGGAAATTTTTTAATTTTTGAGGGCAATATCTTTAGCTAGATACTAGTTGTGATCATCTGACGTATCATTAAAAAAATAGTCAAGTGAGAGTTGAGAAAAATGAATATCAGACACATAAAATATCTCATAGTAAATTAATTGTAATACAAAATTTGTATTACAATTAATTTATTTTATAAGAAATTCCTTCTCACGAGGGGAGATTACAATGAGGGACTCATGATATTCATTGAAGTTATTCAATCGAAATGAGATGAAAGTCAAACAAATTTTAAATTTTTATAACTCAAAAAGAATAAAAAAAAATTTTTTTTGATGGGCGGGGTTTAAACTTTGAACACTGAGTGTGAAAAACAAAAGTGTTACTGATATAGCTTTAGTATACCAAATTTGTCAATATATAAATATAATTTAAGCTGATTCAAAAATTCAAAATCGTTTTTCAAAACTTAGAGGAGAAAAAATATAAATAAGGTTTATTTTTTATTCGATATAAATTAGATTTATGTAACTTTTATGAAAATCGGGACCTCGTTACTATAACTTAAAATTACGTGTTTACGTTTAATAAAACATTTTTAAAATCTATCTTTTCTATGGTATCAACATTAAGGGATAACATAAGGGATTTTCTAATTCTAAAATATGAAGAAAAAGAATATGTATTTTAACAATAGAACTTCAAATTCTTACAGATGTTTAGGAATTTTATGTAAATAATGTTCATATGTACAAAAATACACTATAGCTCTTATTTAATGGCAATTTATTTTGGTAGTACATCCATTATTTTGTACAGCTGTATTAATATTTCTTTAAGTAATAAAAAATTACTTAAAATTTGCATGAAATTAAAGTATAATTAAACTATACAAAATTATGTTAGAAACTATTATAAACATATTGTATTACAAAAAAACAGTCCAATTTGAATTTTTTTTTTTAGTTATTGATTTGTATGATATATTTTCTTTCGATTATTGTGAATATATATTTATAAAAAATGGTTTGTAGAAATTTCGTTGAAAAATATACAATAGAATTATGAAAATTATTTTGTACGAAATTATTTAAGATACTATACTATTTTTAATGATGGTATTGTAAATTACATGTTAAAATCTTTTAGTTAAATTCTAGCCCAAATCAATAATATAATTTAATTGTTATTTATCATTTATCATTCCAGTTCATGTTCAGCTCATCAATCCATATTATGGTCGGCTTTTTAATTTTAAGCAACGGTAACACATAATATATCTAATATTCTGTTATTAATGATATACGCTTCTGTCATAGATCGTTTGTTATTAATTTTCCATTAATATAAAGTTCAATTAGTTTATTAGTAAAAATTATGTAACTCTTTTAGTAATATCTAAGACATCTTCAAGTTCAGTATTCGGTAAGTTTAAATTTTCAGTTAATAATTCATATTTGATTTTACGGACATTCACGACCCAAACATTTTGGATTGAACCGAACTCAAAACGAATTTTTGAATTATAAAATCGAACTCCTAATAAACATCGTATTCGTTTTCAAGCAAAATATTTTTTTATGTTATTATTCAACAAATTCAACGTGATATTTGATAATACTAGTTCAAATGTCAATTTGATTTTCAAGGAAAAAGTTCGGTTTAATTTTTTTTAATTATAATTCTGATTTTTGAATCGAACTGAACCAAATTTGATATGGTTCGGTTCAAAAAATCTCTACTTATAACAAAACCAGTAATTTTGAGTTTTAACATTTATTTATAAATTTTAAATGTGAAAATTTTAATATTAGTATCTGCAAAAATTGATTGGTACAAATTTAAGAGTTATAAACATATTCTCTTCAAGAAAGTTAATAGTCTAAGCACTGCTGCATTTACTAAGCTGGAGACATATTACCCAGGGTTCTTTCTTAACCGAGTGGCTCGTGTATTCCAATCAATTACTTGTTGTTTTAACCAAAAATACCATAGTAAAAAAGTTTCATTAATAATTCAGAGACTGAGACCGGATCAAAAGGAGAGGTTAAAAACCCAATTATATTGGAAAATAGGATTTTTTAATTTATTAAATGGAAAGACATCTGAATAATTTTTAAATATTAAAAAGAATTTCGTTATGAAAATTCGGAATTCATAAATGAGGTTGACTTCAAATACATAACGATATAAATTATTGTTGTAATAAAAAGAAGTTATCATTTGCATTTACTCTCTGCGACTCTATTTACGTATTGTGACGGTAAATATAGACATGTGTATATTTTAGTTAATCAATTAAAATTAACAAATTATTATTTGATGACCAAAATTGGGTTCAAGACCTAGATCAAAACTAGGCTAACACTAGTAATTGCTAGTGTTGTATAGTTTAGTCTCTTAGAACATAAGAAAATTTTATAAAAATGTAGTAAAAGTCTTTCTGATCAAAAATAATTAATAGAATGATTAATAGAACAAGACTTAAGTTAATATGTGATAAGTAAAACTAAGACTAAGATGGATTAATTAAACAAAACTATGACTTTAATATCTTCATCTTGGTCTTGCTTGGTTCATTACTGAATTTTGTTTATAAATATAACTTACTTAACCTTTAAAATTTAATACTGATTGTAACTAATTTTTTATGAATCTTTTTAATATATAAATATTTTTTAAAGGAAAGTATTGGAATTTTTTTGGATTTCCTAGATTGTTCGAAGAAGGTAAAGGACATATTTTAAAATATCATAATAACTCCAGTTAATTGATTTTATTTCATAAATATGTAAGTTATAAATGTATCTGACATTTTGTTGAAAATAGATATTTTTGATGACATGTAATTCAATGTAATTAACTTATTAATAATCAATTATTGTTTTTAATTTTCAGAGAAGGACATAGTTTTTGGTAATAAAATATTTAGCCATTACGTAGTATAATCAAATAACAAAGATTAAATAAAATTAAAAACTATTTAAAACTGGGAATATCATTTTAATGCCTTAAAACCTTTCAGCTCTAGTTTTTTAGTTATAGTTTTATTTGTTATATACGTGAACAAGAAGTGCTCATAGACTCCGACCTCTAGGTCTATTGTGCGCAATTACTACTGATTTATATTAATTAGAGTTCTTTACAAGAATGTTTTTACTGAAGTGTTGTTGCCATTGTTGAATATCTAAGATTCTATATAGGACGTCCTACTATGCTGAAATTATGTGTATCAAAAGATTCTGGTCTCTCTAGTGAAATCTCTTTGGGTTTAAAATTTTTGATATCTTCTTTTAAAAAATATTTTTCCAAAAGTTTAGATCTTAATGTGGTCAGGGTGTCACATTCACATATAATGTGTGATGTATCTTTTTCTTCTGTTCCACACTTCTTTTACTTCACAGTGGTAATTTTGGCATTCCCTTTGTGTAAAGATTTTTAAATAGATAACCGTGTCCTGTCAGTATTCCAGTCAAAGTGCTTNTTACAGTGGTAATTTTGGCATTCCCTTTGTGTAAAGATTTTTAAATAGATAACCGTGTCCTGTCAGTATTCCAGTCAAAGTGCTTATTTGATATCTAGTCATAATATTAAGATCGCTCCTTATACGTTATCTGGTAGCGCACCTTAGAAACGAGCCAATAACCAATATTAACCTGGCTAAAGTATATAAAATCTCGATCAGCGGACTGTGTTTCATAATGTCTTGCTTAATGCAAGCATCTACAATAACAAATCAAAATAAGATTCTACTCACATTATAAACATCGAAGTCATTAGCAGAACTAAATCTAAAATACTACAAATGTTTCTGTTAGAGCTAAATATAGATATATTACTAATCCATGAAACGCATACAAGTGACGAGGAAGAACTAATGTAAAGGGACCTTATAGGACTTTCGATGTTGTTCCAAACCTGATTTCATTGCTTCGTTTAAGAGTTTAAGAGAACTCATGTTTAATTTTGACCGGTTAGCGTTCAATCAAGTTACACCTTATCCTATACCTTTTCTTTTTATCAAAAGACAGTTTTTCTTGTATGCCGAAATGATGTAATTTTGAAGATATTTTATGACCCTTTCAGTTCTTTTTTCCGACCCTAATATAAACTTAAAATTTTTCATGTCATAAGAAAAGCCTACTCTATCGTTATACTAGTCTTTCCTTTAGATTTCCTATAGTCCTCCGTTTCATCTTTATTTATTTTCAAAGTAAAGCGTATGTGCCTATGATCAGAAATAAAAGGTTCAAAAAATCCGTTTCACCCTTCTATATTTCTAAACCAACCCTTTTGAGTAAATTGTAATGACTTCTTGCCTATACTTGATTATAAAAGTAGGCTCATTACAGAATAACTAGGTCTGTAGTTATAAGTACACCCATTAATGTCTTATCTCTTTGGTTGATGTTTTAAGTTACATATATTATAAGATTAATAAATTTGATTGAGTTTTCAAGAACATTATTTTTTTAAATTATTATTGATTTAAGATGAAGAAGAAGATGAAGAAGAAGAAGACATTATTCCAAATTCAATTAATCCAGAAGAAATTAATCCAGAAGGTAAAATCTGATTTATAATTGAAATATACATAATTATTATTGAATTTTATTGATAATATATTCATTAAGTGCGTATTAATACACACTTTATATAGAGTTTTACATGAAAAATAAAAACAGTCTATGAAAAAAAGTTAATTAATAATATTTATTAATGTTTAATCAATTGTAAAAAAAACATGTACATAATACGAAATAATTTATAAATCATGCTTGTTATTAAAATACAACAGATTAAAATACTAATATTTAAAAGAAATAAAGGTAGCACAGTATGGACATGGGATAGTTAGGACAAGTATACATAATATCTGATAGTGATTAAAATCACCAACGCTTCGATGCAAATCTATAGATAGTGTTTAATTTTAAGAAATTGATAGATTATTTCAAAAGCAACAATAACTCTTATTCCCTTTTTTTCAACTACCATAGCATTTTCAAAAATTAACAAATTTTTAAGATTTTTTTTTTTTCAAATAACTTTATAAAATTTACATCTATACAAAATATATGCACAACCGTAAATGGGTTAACAGTAGTGAAAAAAAAAATTACAATATGACTTGAATAGCATGCAGTAGGGGGGCACCCAATGGAACTACCTACTTTGAATTTTGTTTTTTGATTTCATTTTTTTTTTTTTTTCTATAAGAGGTCTCTACACTATTTTCTTTTTAATCTTCTTGGCGGATTGTCGGGGAGAATTAACAAATTAAAATATTTTTATATTAAAACCTTATGTATTTCACTTTTATTTAATATAATTATTTGAAATTCTGGCCCTCTACCTGCCCACAGGGGGAATTCAAAATGGCAAATTTTTTATAAGTCAATTTTTTCAACTTATTTTTTGAAAATTTGTTAGAAATACTGTGTTTTTTAAACATATATTAAATTAAGACTTCTGTTATGCACTATAAATTAAAAAAACAAATCGTCCTGATGACCTATTTTCTATGTGCAAATGGCAGTCGTAGGTTAAAAACATGCTATTTTGGGATCAAATTTGTATTGTTTATTTTAAAGTAATTAACTATACAAATTTATAGTTAAGTCGATTAAGTTAAATGATTCTTGTAATAAAATGCCTTTTTTAACTAGTTATGAAGCTGTGAAAAAACAATCAATGTCAATTACAATCTCAGGCGATTTTTACTTACGTTTAATACATACGTATCGCGTAAGACATTATGAACTTATAGGGGGTAGCGGGATAATTAAAAATACCCCAAATATAATTGTCTAAAAATGAAAATATAGAATTTCAGGTACCCAAATTTATAACTCGTATAATCCAAATGATGCATATTGTACATCCTTCTTTGAATAAGTGACCGTTTGAAATTATAAATTTTGTATTATAATAACTATAATTATGAATATTATAAATTATAATATAAAAATAATGTTTGATATTTGGTTTTTATTTATAAGTATATCTCTGTATGATGTATTTTTATAGAACTCTGTTATGTATGTTATCAAGAAAAATTGACTGTAAAACTTCAGCCGTGTGGACATATGATTGGAAATTTTTGCGCTAACTTTATAGAACAAACAACCAAAAAACCATGCCCAACATGTAGACAAGAAATAACTCAATTTGAAAATTTAGGTTTGTATACGTTTTTTCATACTGTGACGGTCTTGTTATTGTGTACGAGATGTTTTAAGATGAGTGATAAATAATAAAGATGAGACATATTAAGGTTGAATAATAAATAGGCCACTTGCCTGTTTATTAATGACACAGATGGCTCTATTGTACAATCGTGCAATATCACACAATAGTCCAAAATTTAGGTTAGTATAAGCTTTTTAAAATTGTGACAATTTTGTTGTGTACAAGATAATATAGAGTGAGTGACCAATATTGTAGTAGAAACATATTAAGATTGAATAATGGATAGATGCTAGCTTTTGTAATGGCACATCATTACACGACTGCCAAGGAATGGTAGCTGTGAATATTATTATTAATTTATTGAAAATGAAAGCTCAACTGATATTTAATGTAATTGATAGTCACAAGGGTGGATTGCATAATAACTCAAAAATGTTTTTTACTGTAGGTTAGTACTAAATGATTTGGTTACTATCTATGATTAAAATAATATATCTCGTATGAGTATTAAAGTTCTTAAAAGTGAATTAAGTAATAGAAAATAATGAAATTCTATCGTATTACATACTATTTTAATATGTGACATCATTAAAAAAAATTCTTATTCAAGTCGATTTATCGCATTAATCCACATTGACTTAAGTAATGTGGTAAGTATCCCCGCCTGTCACGCGGGAGACCGGGGTTCGATTCCCCGCCGGGGAGCCAGTTGACAAGGTAAGTATTACACCGAACTCACGTGAAGATGAATAAAAAAAGAAAATACAACACTTTAGGGTTTAAAACGTTGTGCCGTTTATTAACTGTTTCTAAACTTGTTAGTATTAACATAAAAGAAAAATAATCCGGAAGCACAGAATATGTAAATAAAATCAATTATATATGTGCTGAAGCAGATAAATGTCGTAGCTGCGTGTCTTGTTCCGTTAAGCTGACAGGAATCAAAAAATCGACATCGGTGTCACGAAGATGACTGACTGGACGTATTATTGCGGCGGGGTATACGACGCTAGGCATTTGTTGGACTTTACACCACGACGATAACGCGTGTGTGTGACGGTCCGGTTTACAGTTAAGCGGTGGCTGAGAAGGAGCTGACACGACCGCGGGGTGTCAACGTGTGACAACGCCGTGGCCGTGTCAAATACCCCCCCACCAAGCCGCCGCTGTACTCTAGAAATCAAATGAAATAGCGCATATGGCGTTCCGTGTTTGGTCGAATATATTAGAGTGCGCATAGCGCAATAACAAGCCGCAATACTTACGTTGTATGTTTGATGGAATGGGCGGTAGTGCCCCGCGGAGTGCGCGCAGCAGGGAGGGGGTTAGGGGTATAGACCCCGCGCGTAACACGCTTGGGGTGGGAGGGAGCTCTTACTCGGCCGGAGGCTCCGGCTGTGCTGGGGAGGTGGGGCAGGAGAGGAACAGGTCCATCTCTCGATCCAGGCCGTCGTCCTCTAGCTCCATAGGCGTCTCCGGCTGCTCCTCCTGTGCTGGTGTCGTTGCTGGTGTTGACGCCGCCAGCACCCCGTCCACATACATGCCCGACGGCCGGCTGACAATAGCTGTTGTCACTGCTGGGGCTGCTGCTGATGTTGTCGGTGTTGTTGATGTTGTTGGTGGTGCTGTTGTTGTTGTCGGTGTTGTTGATGTCGTTGGTGGTGCTGTTGTTGTTGTCCGCAGTGTTGCGGTCGGGTTTATGGGCGGTGTAAGGTCCCCACCGACGACGACCCCCCAACGTCGAAGCATATACTCCTTGTACTTCTTCGTCCGGCGTTCCCGCTCGGACGGAGAGTAGTACCGAGGAGCTTTGCTAGTCGTAGGGGTAGGCGTCGCTGCGGACCCTCCACTGCCCCTGGCGTATGGATGCTTCGGGCGACGTGACGTGGGTGGGGCGCTGTCTGGCCGCGTAGCGCGGAAAGACAGTAGAGGCCGAGGGGAGGGGGCCACCCGCGTATTGCTTGTGGACGCCTCCCCTGGGCGGGAGAAGTGTTGGGCCGCCACATTTATCACCCGACGAGGTTTGGTGGAAGGGGGAGCTTGGACTCCCGTGGCGGACGGGGAGGCGCGTGGGAGGGAGTTTAGCGCGATTTGTATTTCGCACCTCACCTCCTCGCGACCCGCCCGCACGCCCCGTTCGAAGTGAGCTTTTAGTTTAAATCTTTAAATCAGATCTTTTTAAAATGCTCGTTTTAAAAAATTATAAAATATAATTTTAGAAATATTTTCATAAGAGTTATTACAATTAACTGCATAGTATATTTGCTTGGACGTGGTGTTTTTTTTAATCACCGTGTAATATTTATAATTAATCTTTTTAAATTTCAAATTTTCAAATGATTAATTAAATACTCAATTTTAAAAATAAATCTAAATTATACGATATGATTACTGCATTTCTAAGTTTATATATTTGCCAAATTTCATCTTTAAGTTTTTATAATATAACGATTTTATTGATGCTATATTTAATAATTGTTGTAATTTATACTATAAAAAATAATATTGCCAATTTTACTAAAAGTACCCATTTAATTAAATATTGCATTATTTTAATAAGCCTAATTAACCCTAAATATTTTGCCATTTAATGTCTGTATAATTGTTGACCGGAAAATTTGTACTTTGTTGTTTTACAACTTGTAAAATATATATGATATAAATTTGAGTTTACTAGTTTATTGTAGTTTTATTAGTTTAATTAAGCGATTAACTGTAAAACTTCAAAAGAAGATAAATTGTAAAGGCAACAATATTTTTTTCTTACATTTTTTATTTAAGCAAACTAAAAGTATATGGCTTACATAATGTGTAATTTCAAAAAAAAAAATACTGAACTGTATAATCTATTGAAAAGAATTTTTATAAAATAATTTATGTAAAAATTTAAAATATAATTATAATGATTAAGTTTTGTATATTTACAAATATATCGCGTATTTTTAAAAATATATTATAAAATATCTTTATATATTTAGTTTAACTTAAGGATTATTTTTAAAATTTAAAAATAAATCAATTTTAACAGAAACAATGTAAAATTTTTCATTCGGACACAGTATAAATGTATTTTTTTTGAAATGTAAAATTTTGAACAAATACCTAACTGTATAATTTATTGAATAGTATTTTTATAAAATAACTTAAATATAAATATTAAATAAAATTGTAATATTTTTTTAGTACCGCTAAATGATCAACCAGGTGAATTATTTAAAAAAAAATATTACTCTGAAGCAGATAAAGTACCCCGAGAACTTCTTGATGTAGACTACAATAATTTAATGGAACGTGTGAGTAGATTGGAAATTTCAGTCGAAGAAATAAAAGCGCGATACTGTTACCTTCGACGTTCTCAAGCAGTGGACGAGAA